GTAGGAGGGGCAACGGAGCCCGGGAAGCACGGCGGGGGTGTCCGGCGGGGGGGGGCGGCCCCTTCTTCGGGACGCAGAAGCGATCTGGCGACAGGTAAGTCACCAGGATCGCTTCTGTTGTAAAGCCGACAGTCGGCTCTACAAGTTTAAACAGAGTCCCGGCGGCAAAAGTCGCCGGGAGTCTGTTTAAACAGCCCCGATGCTGGCGACGTACACTGTACGTCGTCAGTCACGAAGGGGTTAAAGTGTAGTTCCACTTTCACAGCCAAATTGGGATAACACCCATTTTAAATGTGTTACATGTTCCCATTCACATATCAGTTAAAAAAAATTGCTTCCTGCAGTTTAAATTTCACTTGGTTTAGGGTTTCCTGGCGACTTAAGGGTTTACATTTTTGCTTGCTTCTGCTTTGTAATGTTAGGAAGGGCTGTGAGGGGTTAAAGGAATGTTAATGAAGTTAAGAGAAACACATTCCTTAAATTTCAGTCCTAAGTCTTTCTATAAGGATAGATCACTGTGAAAGTGCTCCGAAAAACCTGGAATCAGCCATGTTGCCTGCTGCAACAAAACATCTTAAAAGAAAGAAATAAAAAATGCATTTTTTTGGTATGCAATGAGAATAGGAACACATAACAAGCATATGGTGGGGTTTTCTCAAATTTGACTGCAAAAGTGGACGTACACTTTAAGGTGGTGTGAACAAAGTCAATAAAAGATAGTCTTTTAAGCTTGGGAGTAATGGTGGAAGAGTCCACAGGCGTAGGATCAGCTGTTAAAATCCTTAACAGGCTCAGCATCAGAGTCTTGCTGGATGAAGGCTCAGAGGCCACTAAAGCCTCAGATAGAACAAATACGAATTCAGCGTTGGAGGGTGTGGAAGCATGCCCATCTCCTCTGCAGTCAGAGAAGGCAAATACATTTGCTATTTGGCCAATAAGATTCTACATAGATGCAGTAAAATCCTACCAGGAAAGAGCAGAGAAGGGATCCATGCCTGGCAGAGCTTATGAAGATTGTGAAGATGGCACAGACTCAGAGGACAAATTCCAGCCATCAAAATCAGGCACCTCCATGTGCAGGCAGCACTGGCATCTATTCTAACTAAAAGCTGCATGTACAGTCCTGTCTATAAATCGCCTCCTTTCTTTTTGTTATTTTTAGGTATCCCTTATGAATGGGTACACAAAAACATATAGAGGGGGTTTCTCAAAGTTGGCTGCAGAACTAAACTCTGTATGAAATAAGTAAGCAGACAAGATATACAACTTCACTTCTACTACATTGCTTGCATGCTTTGTTTCAGAGTCAAAACTTATATTTTCAATTTTGGATAGAATAGGGAAGGGCTAAAACATCTGTCCATTTTCCCCCTACTTTGTACTGTAGATTGAACATGAGGGGAGAGCATATCATTTCAAAAATATGTCCCTCTTAGGCAGTTATGGGAAACCAAAATGTTGGATACACCCTCATTTTCATTCAGGTGACATTGGTGATTAGAAAAATCAGAAAGGGTGAACCGTGCAAACAAGAATTAAAAAAAATAATAAATAAAATGTTTTGACTTTCATTTTTACCTTTACAACCCCAAAACTTCATCATACAAGTCCTGAACTGTGTTGTATGTTGTATGTTATACATTGAAGAGTCCAGGAGGTTTTCTTTGTGCAAATCTTTGGATGAAAAGTGCTATATACACTTACCTGCATGAGTAAAAATGCAGAGACGGCATTTCTATAGCGGACATTTGCTGCCATTTGGGAATCTAGCTACTGTTCACCTTTGCAGCTGTTGATTTTATTTAGAGATTTTAAAGGTCAAAAATTCTTTCCTGTGGCATTGGATTTTTTTTTTCACTCCTGTATCAAAGTATCTATACATCTCTATTTTTCTTTCATATACATTTAGACTTTCTGGTCCAGAGTGGACTCCCAACAACAATATGCTCAGCCACGGAGATCAATAAATTTGCATGTTGCATCAATAGGTTTACTTTTAAACTAGATCTGGGGGAAGATGAGTGCAGAGAGAGCACTTGTATATACGATCCATTACACAATACTCTATGTTTCACAATTTATTGTTTTACTCACCTTCATGAGGTTCTGAAACTTCTTATTCTCTCTCATCAGGAACTTGTAGTGGCTGACTGCTCTGTTATGCTGGCTACAAAAGATACCATATTTGTTCTTCATCCTTTCACCAGTGTCAGCTGAGAACTGAAGTTAACAAAAATTACAGAAATTCAGAAAAAGACTAAAACATAACTGATGCTCATGTAAAATAAAACAGGAAGAAATTTACAGAGCTGTCAAAAGCAGAAAGTCCATGTATTCTCTCTATGGAAATACTTTTGACATATACTTAAATGCAACCCCAAAATGACAGGTCTAATATAAATATTAGGGCTCCAACAACTAATCGAGTTGACAACTATTCTCATTAATCGATTAGTTGAGAAGAGAGGGGGGCGATAAGGGTGAGGGAGATTTTATTAATCAGTAAACACGTCTAAATCAGGCTTCCCACATATGGGTTCTCAGCGCCATATAAATAAAAACAGAAAATGTTTAGCCTCCTGGCTATTTTAGATTCTCTCAGACATTTAGTTTGTCTCAGCACGGACTACTACAACTCAGCCTCTTGCTATGGAGCAGCCTGGCTTGGCCTGTATAGACTCGTTACCTATTGGATCTCTTTCTCTCTCATTGTGCCAAACGGCGACCCTCGGTCCCTTCATCAGACGTCAGTCTGGTGAAAGTGTCAAAAACACAAGACACACACACACAAAAAAAACACAAGACACACACACACAGGGAGAAGTACTGGCTGGCATACTGATTGCCTTTTTGGTTGGGGAAAAGACTCACCGCTGCTCAGAGACTCTTTCCATGCTGCACCATGCCTAATCTTTTCACAGTGACAGAGTGCTGTCACAAACTTTTATGTGACCATGTTTCATATTACACCCTTAATTGACTTTTTTTTAAAAAACAATTCTCTACGGGAGCACCCCTCCCAAATCTTCGCTTTAGCTCCACCTCCCAGAGCTCTGGGCTTAATTCCTGAACTTTCAAACTATGACACTCACTCATCCGAAGTCTCTAATCTGTGGGAAATCCTCAAACTAAAATCCTGTACTAGTGCAGGGCTTACCACTACACAAGGAACTGTATATCACCTAGAGTTTTCATCTCCACTTTTACTAAGAAGCGATCATCCAATTCACTTCAACTGTCAATAGCCCCTTCTGTCAGCTCAGACTGATATTCAGGATCATAAGCACCTTTGACTTCTCCCATGGCAACCTGATTATCTAAGAGCACTTTTATTTTTGTCATGGTCAGAAACAACAAACAAACATTTTCAGCATGGCAGTGACTGCAGAGAGAGAAGACACAGGTGAGCAGTTATCTCCCAGGCAACCTCCCAAAACAATCGTCTCATCTGTCATTAGATACTTGGAAAGCACAAGTTGGACTTGCAAGGCATCCCTGAACAAATAGGTACATCTATAATAAAGACAGAAATGGCCAGAAACACTGCCATAAGCTTTTGTTATACCACTAGTCCGAGGTCAGCTCCTTTCTGCCTTGATTCTTGCCTTTTAACTGGTTCTTGATTAGCGCATGCTCTTGCCTCCTATTGCAAATTCTCTCCCGCCGATCCACCATCTCTACAGCCCCTCTTTTACCATGGTCCACAAGGACAGCAACAGCAGTATATAGGCAAGGGGGGTCAAAAGAACCCTGCACCAAAATAGCCTCACATACAATATATATTGTACATTCACAAAACAACTTCTATCACAAGTCTAGAAACAAGGCTGTGTATCTCATTAAAAAATTGTTTACATATCTTGCACTGACAGGGCTAACAGTCCTAAAAACATTATCTGCAAGCTAGATGAACAACTCTATATTGAATAAGTTTCTGAAGCCTCTATGCCAAATAGACAATTAAAACTACATCCAATCAGTGTGGATGATGGAGATATGAATGATATGCCTCATGTTTTAGCTAATGCCAAGGCATGCATGTAACAAGGATTCTCTAGAACATAAAAGGTGGAGTTCCTAAACAAATTGTGTTTTGCAAAGTATCTAAAAGACAAACCCAAACAATCAGAGCATAAACTAATACCATAAATGCCCAGGCTGTATATCATAGCAGGGAAAGTGATTGATAGGATTACTACAGAATAGTGGATACAAAATTATATATATATATTTTTTTATTAAAGGGTTATACGAGTATCAATATGTAGATAGTAAGCACATATACAAAATCCAATGTTTTTTTAAAATCCTCAATGGTGACTATTATATCATGAACTTTACTTTTAATCTGTACACATTAAAGATCAATTAATGATACTGCTTCTACCTGTTGTACAAGAATATCTCCAATCTTCTGAATGATGTAGTTCCGATCACTACCCTCTTCTAAGGATTCTTTGCGCCTCTCCTTAAATCGAGTCAAGAACTGCCCATGCAGTTCCAGGAGTTCATCCAGACAGGGCAAAAGTTGATTGACTTCTTTATTCCAATGCAGTTCTTCTCTAAGTGCTCGGCAATAAACTTTCAACATTATTTTCAGTGTCCGAACATGGTGCATCTCTGTTTGCATTAGTTCTGAAATCAGCAAAGAAAAAAGTGAGAAATCCATAATTTGCTGGAAATATGGAATAACACAAACCATGCTAAAGTGAATTATTCAATTAGAGACAAGATCGGCTTTCTCACCATAAATAACATCCTGCCTCTTGATAACCTCTTTCTTCTGTTTCTTGGCAAACGGAGGTTCAACTGCACTGCTCCAAGACTCAGCCTCAAGTTCAACAGCATCCGCTTCTAATTCAGATCTCACAGACGAAAAAAAAGCATCTAAAAAATGTTTTTAAAAAATTAGTATGAGAATTAAAAAAAAAAAACAAGTATGAGATTATGCACGGCCTTAGGCTGTAAACAGTTATTGCCCATAGAGGCATTGGTAATGGCCTGGCACGGTGTTAGAAAAGTACTGTAATGTGATCAGACCTACACATCTTCAAGAGAGCCTCTCAGTTAAATTTCAACCCTGCCTGAACTCTACGACCCATGAGACAGTTTGGTGGGCCTGAAAAGGAACCAAATATATATCTTTCACATCTGTCCCCTCACAGTTTCTTTATTAGCTTTGCAACAATAAAAACAAACAAAAAAAAACTTATGCACAAGGACCTTTTAAAATAACTTTAACTGAGGCATGCCATAGCAAGAACTTAGCTCCAGGTGGAATCACACGCTTGTGCACTTGAAATATAAATTTTTGACCTTTGCAATTTAAACCAGCAACTAATATCTATAGCATGTTTTTGTAAAAGGCTGTAGGTATTGCATACTACACAGAGCGGCCTTGACGAGGCAGTGCGACTTCCAAATATTTTGAAAAAGTTGTGCAACTAAAAACTCGGTTTTTAAACTTTATAGTTCATGTACTTTGTTTTCTTTGCAGGTTGGCTGGTGAGTGTGCAGGGTAATTTCTTTGTTTTTAACCTCTTGCCGTCCGCCCGTTAAGAAAAAACGGACGGACGGCAGACTCGCATCCGCGGGTTGCCGTGTCCAGACGGCATTTTTTCCTGCTCGCGCGCGCCCCCTAGCGTGCGCACGGGCTGGAAAGACGCGCTCGTTACTACAGCCGTTAACGGCTGTTTCACATACAACCGATCAGCGGCTCTATAGTTCCCCCTCATAGTTCTCCTTTACCCTCTTGCCGCCCGCCCGTTAAGAAAAAACGGACGGACGGCACATTCTATAGCCGCCGATCGGTTGTACGGCGTGATTTTCGGATCCCCCCCCCCGTTCGCTAGTGCCACCACTCCCCCTCTCCTGACCCCTCAACTTTAATCCCGGGATCCGCTAGAACATCTGCGGCCCAGGATTGGCTCGGGAGGGCGTCAGGAGGAGAAGGGAGGGAGATCAGCTCCTTGCTGTTCTCCCTCTGTAGTGTGAATGCAGAAGTGACTTCCGCATTCACCTGTCAGTCATCTGGCTCCTACTGCCAGAGAAAAGAAGCTGATGAAGCAGATCTCTGCTTCTTATGGGGTCTCCAGGTGACATTAGGGGTCTAGAGACCCCTAATGTCTCCATAAAGAGGACCTGTCAGTGTACCTGTGCTATTATATAGGGGGATGGTATCCCCCTATATAATAGCAATAACAATAAGTGTAAAAAAAAAACTTATATAAATAAAAAAAGTTAAAAAAAATAAAAGTCACAAACAAAAAAAGTTTAAAAAAATAACAGGTCACAAATAAAAAAAAGTAAACCCCCCCCCCACAATGTTTAAGTCCCCCCACCTTCGTTTACGCACATTTAAACGTAAATATGCGTCGCATGCGCCAGCACGCGAAAATGACAATTGCGCTACACATGTTACATATCGCCGCGAACGTCGCAGTGAGAGCAATCATTTTAGGGCCATCAATCACTGATAACACTAAACTGATGAGCGGTAACAGCTTTTAAAGCGTCGCCTATGGCCAATTTTGGGTAATATAGTTTTTTTGAGGTTTCGCGCGCGTGCGCAATTTTAAGGCTTGACATGTTTAGTGTCTCTTTACCCGACTAGACCCCGTCTTTTATATTTTACCAAAAAATTGGGAAATTATAAATGTTTTAGAATTTAATATAGGGGAAACTGTTTTTTTTTTTTAAAAATCTGTAATTTTTCCTTCATATATAAAAAAATAAAAACCCCAGTGGTGAATAAATACCACCAAAAGAAAGCTCTATCTGTCCCCAAAAAAGGGTATAAAATTCATTTCAGTAAAGCGCTGCATGACGGAATAAATGTCAGTCAAAGTACCGCCGCGCTGAATACTGAAAAATGGCCTGGATGGGAAGGGGGTTTAACACCCCGGATGTCAACTGGTTAATGTGTATAGCCCCTCCATGTGCACCTAACTTTAACCACTTGCTGACCGGAGCAATTTCTTACATTTGAACACCCATTATAAAATCAACCTGTTCTTGGTATAACCCCTTCAAGCGTGTGATGTGCATTTACGTGAGCCCGCCTACAGGAATCAAAAGATAGTTATAAACGGATATGTGCAGTTGCCATATTTGTTTGTGGATTTTGTGCGGGGACATACTGCCATTGTGATGTGCTGTGCTTCCAGTGTGTCTCCATGCCTTTAAGGAGGAATGGGCTACCTCCAGGCATACTTGCAGTCAATTGGTCCATTGTTTTTTATGCTCCAAGATGGAAGCGCTCATAGACTAGAGTTAGGACCACATTACACAGAAAAGGCTTAAGGGAGTTTGGCTTCCAAATATTTTGCAAAAGCTATACAAGTAAAATCTCGGTTTTAATGCAAATTGTTGGTGTATTTTGGGTTGTTTTTGCAGGTTAGTTGGCAAGTGTGCTGGGAAATTTATTTGTACTGTGTAAAGCCCTTCCTTACTATAAAAAGCTAGTAATAAATTAAATTTGTGCAGTCGCCATATTTGTTTTGCAATGGTCAGCGGTCACTTCTGTTATTACTCCTTCTCAATATGATGTTTGCTGAAGCTGTGTATATGCGGACAACTTAAGCCCTGACAACTTAGATAGTCTGCTTGCCAATTATCTACTCCTGGAATGTAGACCATGGTCAGAGCCGGAATGTGACTTTCTGCCCAATGAAGTATACGAGACACCTCCAGCATT